GTGTTGGTGGAGTCTGTGGGGAGACTCACGCCACACACCTCCCGTGGCAGGTGTGGCACACGGCACACATCTCCCGTGGCAGGTGTGGCACACGCCACACCCCTCCCGTGACAGGTGTGACACACCTGCTATCATGACCAGCGGGAGGTAAGAGTCATGTACTTACCTAATACTGCTTTCCTAAGACTACGGTGAAGTGAGGACTCGCTGTGTATGTCTCGCTCTCTAAACCTGTACTCTGGTGCTTGCCTTTAACTTCACTAACACTCGAAACCTTTGTGGAATGTGACCATAAAGTCGACGGTTGGGGGGGGGGCGACTTCCACTACTTTGTATGTCAATGTTTATTCTAACTGTTGTTTTCTACTTGCTGTATTCTACTTGTTGTATTCTACTTGCTGTATTCTACTTGTTGTATTCTACTTGTTGTATTCTACTTGCTGTATTCTACTTGTTGTTTTCTACTTGCTGTATTCTACTTGTTGTTTTCTACTTGCTGTATTCTACTTGTTGTATTCTACTTGCTGTATTCTACTTGCTGTATTCTACTTGTTGTATTCTACTTGCTGTATTCTACTTGTTGTATTCTACTTGCTGTATTCTACTTGTTGTTTTCTACTTGCTGTATTCTACTTGTTGTATTCTACTTGCTGTATTCTACTTGTTGTTTTCTACTTGCTGTATTCTACTTGTTGTATTCTACTTGTTGTTTTCTACTTGCTGTATTCTACTTGTTGTATTCTACTTGCTGTATTCTACTTGTTGTATTCTACTTGTTGTATTCTACTTGCTGTATTCTACTTGTTGTATTCTACTTGCTGTATTCTACTTGTTGTATTCTACTTGTTGTATTCTACTTGCTGTATTCTACTTGCTGTATTCTACTTGCTGTATTCTACTTGCTGTATTCTACTTGCTGTATTCTACTTGTTGTATTCTACTTGTTGACTACCCGTAGGGGGGTGTGTGTGGGGTTGGGGAGGGGGTGGGAAGCGCGCGTCCGAGCGCGCGTTAGTCCATCCTCCTGAAATGATAATAGTTTGGTCAAACGGACCAATATATATACTGTTGGACTCCCAAGAGTTCATGTTTTGTACTACTAAATTTGTCCAAAT